ACGCTAATGAACTATGTTCTTTGACTTATGAAGTTTTCAAAGTCATTACTACTAATGTTTATTTTATATAGATAAAACTTCGTTTTATTTTTGTTGCTTTATTTAGCGTTTGTATGATCTCAAAAGCGGTTGAGAGTAAGAACTATATTTTTGCACGTAACTTTAAAATGGCGACTATGGGGTCAACATCCTGCCTTGAACAGGATCACATAAGCCGGCAATTGCTCTTTGAGCAATAAGCCCGGCTAAAAATCAAAGAAAAAAACCTTTTGTAAATGCTTCATCTTTTCTAATAGGAATAAGGCGGGAAAGTGTCATTTAATAAAACTAGCCAATATATTTTTTTAAAATAAGAAATCTTAAATTTATTAAAAAAAATTATGTTTAAAAAAATATAAAATATAAAAAAAAGATACAAAAAATATATTTAAATATAAATTTATAAAATCAAATCTATTTCTGTGCATTGTAAAAATAATGATGAAAAAGATTTTTTTTATTTTCATTTTTTTCTTATTGTTTATTTTTATCGAGTGTGGCATGATATACCGGTAATATAAAGTACATGAATCAAATAGAGGGAGGGTGTGGGGTTGGATGGGACTAGCTGTTTTTGTACAACAAATTTACACTAAGTTTAAATATACAAATTATTTAACTCAAATGAAATATTTACATGTGCAGTAACCTTCATAAATGAAAACTACATATTTACTGAAGTTGATGGAGCAGGTGTTTTATTGGAAATTACGCCTTTTTTTAATAGTCTATCATTTTTATATTTCCATAAAATATGAAAATTACATCTGCATTGAAATAAATACATTTAAATAAATATTGCTTATTTATCGATGCGAGAGAAAACCGTACACAGATTTCCTTTCTTGTACATTATTATTTTAGGGGAGGAGTCGGATAAATAAAATGTTCTCAGAAGCTTTAATGAATTTTAATCATGATATGTAATAAAATGTCAAGAATTGGAATCAAAAACACAATTTCACGGGTGTTACTATATAGTAAATCAAAGTTCCAAAGTTTACACTATAGTTCAAACTTGTCAACTTATGATCAGGTGACACAAGAGTACCTCTTATCTTATAACAAGTGCTTAGTCAAATATCTCAAACTGTTCACTTGACTTTATTGCACTCATTGGAGAGTGGAACGTAAATTGAAACCATTAAAATTCTGTGTGTCCAGTATATTGTATCTGCAAAAAAGTATCTCAGATGTTTTGAATAGAACTAAATTGTAGGGAAGATTGTTATCGACACTCTTTCTACAAAGCTGAAAAAGTTGGTATTTACTCAATTGGCTCATATTCCCCATCTATTTAAGAAATGAATTTATTTTTTGAGAAATTCAAGAGGACATGAACTACGACGCTTCACGCCTGCATACTTCATGCAGCTTTATTATAAACATGTAGGCATGAAGCGCTGTAGTTCATGTGCCTCATGAATTCTCAAGAAATAAAATTCATATCTTATATTTACATAATTTTTTTGATGACTTGCCACACATTTTTGTCATTCAACGATATTTTTTTTTAAGTTGCACTTTCTTTTTTACTTCAGTCACATCACAAAAGAAATATTCTTTCTCATCCCATGGTAGTTCATGAGAACATAAACATTTTCTAGTGAGGAAAAATATTTGGAAATGTTAATATAAGAAAAAAGATATATTGTGACACGTAGGCCGATTTATTGTCGTAAAATATACATTCTAAAATATTCAGGCATTTTAATGAGATTTTTTCAGTATGCTGATAGATATGAATTTACTGCATTTATTTGGAATGTGACCTGCTTTATTATTAAATGTTAGTTAAAACAGTTTTACAAGAATCCGGATTTTGTTTTTTAAACTTAGCTGAGCCGACGAATCAAGTGAGAGTTTCTCATTGAAAAGTGCCCGGTGTCTTTCTGTCGTCATTAAAAGTTTCAGCCATAGATTTTTAATTCAATTTGAACCATATGAGTGTATATCTTAGAGAGAAAAAAAAGTGAATGTGATGGTGCTCTTTCCTTCTAATTTTTGTAAAGAACAAACAAAAAGCATGGAATTTTCAACAATAGTAATTTATATCTCAAATGAATTATCCTATAAACGTCGAAAAGATTTAGAAATCAGTAACATTGAGACAATATGGTTAGAAATTAATTTAAAGAACACAAAACCTATACTTTATTGTTCTGCATACCGCCCACCATCTGCCCCCTCCTGCTGGGTGGAAGACCTAGCAAGAGAGATGAATTGTGTCCCCTGCTGTGATGACCAAGAAATCATACTTACAGGTGATTTTAATGTAGATTTACTTAAAGACCCCCCTCAATCTTGGACATCTGCTCTTGAAGAATTTGGACTTGCTCAACTAATTACCATACCTACTAGAATAACTAACACCTCATGTACCCTTATTGATCATTTTTACACTACCCAACCTGATAACATCTGCGAAATTCAAGTACCACCCATAGCTATCTCTGACCATTACCCTGTTTGTGCAACCCGTAAATCTAACAGCATGCAGCGTAAGGGAAAACACACTGAAATTCAATACAGAGATTTTAAGAATTTTAATGAGGAAGAATTTCTCTCTGATTTACAAAGTGCCAATTTTAATGTTCTTACAAATTTGCAAAATCCTAATGATATATTGGAAAACTTCTACAGCATATTTAATACCATTCTCAATAAACATGCTATGGTAAAAACTAAACGTGTAAAAACCGAGTCTCGTCCGAAATGGTTCACACCAGAAATTAATGATGCTAGACAGTTACGAGATTACTATCATCAACATAAAGACTTTGATAATTTTCGTCATTGGAGAAATAAAGTTACTCTGTTGATTAATAATGCAAAATGTATCTACTACAAATCAGCAATTGAGGAGAGCTCTAATCCTAGAGAAATGTGGAGCTATCTTAATCAGTTAGCTTCCAAGTCAAAAAATATTTCTCCCACTCTTATTAAAGACAATGAATCAGAAATTGATGATTTACAACTTATCGTAAATGTTTTTAATGAGCATTTCACAAGAATTTCTGACAATTTATTAACTAAAACACAAAATCATAGCTTTAATTTTCAAAAATTAAAAGAATTCACGAAGTCCAAACTCAATGATGAAAATGTGTTTAGCTTACTTCCTATAAGCCAGGACAATGTCTTAACTATGCTACGCTCACTTGACATTAATAAATCAGCAGGTGTAGATTTCATTGGTCCCCGTCTCTTAAAATTTCTGCAAAGGTAATTTCTAAACCCATAACTCATCTCATTAATACTAGCATTACTAATGGCATCTTCCCTTCCCAGCTGAAACATGCTAAAGTCACCCCCATATATAAGAAAGGCGATAAAAGTGATCCCAGTAATTACCGTCCAATATCTATCCTGCCAACTTTGTCGAAAATTTTTGAAAAGCATATTGCTAATCAAGTACGTGAATTTACGAGAGCTTTTGACCTCATTATGAGCTCACAGTCTGGTTTTAGGGAATTCCACTCTTGCCAAACAGCGATAACTGGTTGCATGAAATGGACCAAGGAAATTTAATTGGCATAGCTATTCTAGATTTTAGTAAGGCGTTTGATTTAGTTAGTCATGATATCTTAATAGAGAAATTACGACATTATAATTTTGATTCACTAACAATCAAGTGGTTCCAATCATATTTAAATGAAAGGAAGCAAAGTGTAAAAATTGGTGCATGTTCTTCCAATATTTTACCTATCACAGCAGGGGTGCCACAGGGATCCATTTTAGGCCCACTCCTATTTTTATTGTATATAAATGATCTTCCTTTATGTGTAAATTACTCTAATATTGATATGTTTGCGGACGATGCAACTCTGCATTTACCTAACAGCAATGTACATAATATTGAAACAAATTTAAATTCTGATTTACGTGAAATTGAAGACTGGTGTTTACAGAATCAAATGATACTGAACACAGACAAATCAAAATGCATGCTTATGTGTACACAACAAAAAAGATCAAAATTAAATAACCCAGTACTTGATGCAAAAATTTCTGGCAAAAACTTGGAAAATGTTGAAGTTGAAAAACTCCTAGGTATTCAGATAGATCAATCTCTTCAGTATAATTGTCATGTTGATGCAGTTTGTAAATCCCTGAGATACAAATTATTTACGCTCCGTAAAATTAAGAAATTTCTTCCATTAAGTACAAGAAAACTTTTCTATAATGCATACATTTTGCCTACAATAAACTATTGTCTCACAGTCTGGGGTAATACGTCCAAATGTAACATTGAGAGAATTCATAAGCTTCAGAAACGGGCTGCTAGAATCATTCTTGATGCAGCACCTGACTAACCATCTAAGCCTTTGTTTGAAAAACTAGGATGGTTAAATGTTTTTGAGTTAGTTACGTTTCATAAATGTATTTTATTGTATAAAACTTTTTATGGTATGAGCCCAGAATATATCCAGAATCTTTTTATTTTTCACAGTTCTGAATCATACTCATTGCGTTCAGAATTTAATTATAATCTTCGATTACCAAAGCATCGAACAATCTTATTTACAAACTCTTTACAATATTCAGGTGTACATTTATGGAATAGTCTACCGTTACATGTTAAATTATCGCCATCTTTACCTGTTTTTAGAAAGAATTTGGAAAAAGTTATAATTAGCCAACGTCTGTAATTTTTATTATTATAGATGTCCTTTTTATTGTTATTAACAATGTCTTTTAAACCTTGTATATTGACTTATTTATTGTCCTATATTTTCAATAATTTGTATACTACATTCGATTATGAAGTTATAAAATGAACTTATCATTTTCATGTACATTGTATATATGTTTGATTGTACCATTTTATGTATATTGTTTGAAATGTAGAAGGCCCCGGGGAAGAATAGTACTTTGTACTAATCGGGTTACCTTCTTTAAATAAAGCATTATTATTATTATTATTATTATTATTATTATTATTAACAATTAATATATGTGACGCGCCAAGCAAAAACCTCCCTTATATCTATTATGACGTAACGTCAGAAAACGCGTCTAAATATCATAAGGACGTAAACGCTGTATTCTCGTCTGCCATGTGTTTAACTTCCTTGTTCAAGCTATAATAACAACGTTATGGAGGAATTTCAGGTGAGTTTTTTTTTTTTTTTACTGAGCTTTACATCAGCATAATATATTTGCAAAAACTTATTTAAGTTGATTATTTTTTTTAATTAGAGATAGAATATATCCTGAATGAGAAAAAAAAATATTCGAGAAACTTGTTGGACCAATATACTGTCATGTTGATTGTATATCGGTACATGCAAATGCGACTTTTTCGATCGCATGCATGCGAGCAGGTGTGGATTTATTAATTTTTTTTAAACTTCAAATGAGAAATTTAGTATTCATATTTCAAAAGTTTATAGAAATATAATATAAACTTTGAATTGTCATTACATTATACCGCTCTGGTGCACAGGATTAATTACCTTCATGCACAAACTCCGCGTAAGCATAATTTACGCAGAGCTCATGGCTTGGTCAATCGAGTGATTTCTATTGACTTTATTGATAAAATTGCGAACTCCTGTGGCTATGCTTATTGAATAATGTGGAATATAAAGGGATGTTGGAAATTCAGATTATTTGATTACGACAGTATGAAAACGATCAGTATAAATTTGTTGCCAAGTTGTTGCTAATGTAAATAAAGGGGCACCACTCTAAATTTTTTTCAGAAATGAAATTCTTTCGAGAATTCGAGAATTTATTTAATGCAGTTACAATATGTTAACAAAATGCTTATCAATTGTGTGTGTGAATAGAGATAAATTTACAATCATTAATAGGCAAAACTGTACTATTATAAGAAACCCTTGGTTAGCGAAGATGCCTTCATGACTTGGCCGAGTAAATTCAAAACTGAAGAATGAATGGCCGTTCCATTGCAAGAAAATCATTCATCATTTTGTTTTAAAAATATGATACAGTAATCAATTTACTATAAACACAAAGGAAGACCCAATGTCATTCTTTAAAAAAAATCACATGCATTTGTTTCAGGCCCACTAAGATTTAAATAAATAAAGGGTTAGAGGACCTGGTACAAACATGGTTTATATGTACCAAGTTAAAGTATTAGATCTCATGAATAATCAATTAAAACAAGGCATAAAATTCTTCACAAAATTGTTAAGATTTACCGTAAGTTCTTTAATCTTTTAATATCTAAAAAATTTGAACATCAACTAGAGTTTAACCTGTGCTATTACTCCACTCCCCCCCCCCCCAAAAAAATAAATAAATAAAAATAAAATAATAATAAGTTCTAAACAAGAGAAGTTCTCGACTGATTTACCGGTTCAAACCACAAAAAAAATTCGTCTATAATTTTTATGTGGTAGTAAAGATAAAGGGGAAAGCAGATACATTTTAAATCGAGGGTGGATCGGGCAACGGAAAACAAAAATATATATTTCTCTTTGACTTCAGTAACCATTTTCATCTATACCCCCCCCCCCCCCCCCAATATCAAACATGCAAGGATTGTACTTTGAACAAATATTTTTATCATAATAAATAAATGATTAATGTAATATATGGATTTTTTATCAAACACATTTTGGAATGCACGAAACCTTGTTATAGAGTCACTTATATTTTATATGTGCTTGATTTTTATTATTTTTTTTTTTTTGGTAGGAGCTAGATGAACTAATAAACGAACATTTTGGAGTAAGTGGCAGAAAGCGTAAATCAAATTTTGTAGAAGATACTTCCTTTGATGACGATTCCGAAGTTGATGAACCTTTATCAATAAAGAATCGAGCAGAACATTTTTTCAATTCGGATGAAAATGACGAACGATTAAGTGATACTGAGGAAGATGTCATTTTTGATGTGATCCAAAGAGGATGCAAATGTGTGAAGATGTGTCTCAACAATTTCTCAACACAGGAAATTGTTGATCACATATACTCAATACGAGAATTAGAAAACCTGAAAAAGAAGTCATGATAATGACAACATTAAATGATTTCGTATTTCGTCCAAAACCTAAAAGTACTCGAAAAAGAGTGAGATATATGTACACTTATCGTAGTCAACAAATCTGTAGAGCTGCTTTTGAGATTGTATATGATGTGAAAGAACATACTTTAGATAGTCTTCAAAAGCATGTTCAAACACACGGAGTAACCCCACGAGTTCATGGAAACAAGGGTAGAAAAGCCCCAAACGCATTCAAGTTCGATGAGGTTTTTAATGTTGTTCAATACTTGCAGAACTACGCCACTCAAAATGGTATTCCACAACCGGCTGGGCACGGGGGCGGTGGTCCAGAACCTCAAGTTTACTAACCATGTTCCAACACTAAAGATGAAATTTACAGGCAATATACAGAGGATTGTGGAATGACCGGGATACGTCCTTTAGGTTTATCCTCTTTTAAGGACGTGTGGTTGAAATGCACACCTCACATCAAAATAAGTAATCCACGGACCGATGTGTGTCATTTGTGTGAAAAGCATAGAAATGCTATTAGAGAAGCTGTTGGTGATGCGGAGAAACTAGAGGCTACGATTAATTTCCAAAATCACCTTCAAATGGCAACAAGAGAAAAACAAGCCTACCAACAAGCCGTGACAGATTCTGTAACAGAGCTTCAAGGCATCACAAGAGGATATGGAACCTGTAGATCCATGCTCTAAGCCTTATACTAAAGTTCACTTTACTTTTGATTTTTCTCAGCAAATGTTTTTGCCTCATCACTCCAGACAAATGGGCCCACTTTACTTCCTGGTTCCTCGCAAAGTTCAACTTTTTGGAGTGAGAGTAGATGGAATTCCAAGGCAGTATAACTACCTGGTCGATGAAAACGAAACTATAGGTATGGAACTATATTACATGGACGTTACCTCACAATAAAAAATTAGACTATTTCTAATTAAACTACTTTTTATGTAAATTAATGAAATTGAATAACACTTTCAGGGGAAAATGGATCGAAGACACATGGACCAAATGCTGTAATATCAAAGCTACATCACTGCTTACACAACTTTGGTTTAGGTGAAAACGAGTGCATTGTTCATGCAGACAATTGTGCAGGTAATTCTGTTGTTAAGCTTTCAGTTCATACCGGTATCCGATCATATTTTATTTTTTAAATAAAAATATGTTTTTTTAATTGTACCATTAGGTCAAAATAAGAATCGATATTTGTTGGCATACTTCTGTTGGAGATTTCTGCTTGGTCTACATAGACAAATACATGATGAAGATTCCAGGACATGCAAGGTATTTACATTTTTGCAAATTACTTTCTTAAAAGCGAAAAAGACACATTTTCATGTGAACTAAATTCAGAATTATTTTAATGATTTTATAAGATAACTCAAAAAATCTTTTTAGATGCTTAGTGGATTCGAATTTTGCACATATCAAACGCCTCTACAAGAGAAGTGATTGCAACTCCCTCGAACAACTGAGATCTATTGTTGACAAGTCCAGCTACTCCAACAATGCGGTTTTATATGCTGAGGAGGAATCTTGGATGTGGTCGGATTGGGTGCAGTTCTTCTCCGAGCACTTTGATCCACTCAAGGGTTTGCGCGGATTCCAAATCTTTCGATTTTGCCATGACAGTCCAGGGTATGTACTTTGCAAAAAGTCTAGCGATGGTGAGGAGATTCCTGTGAGACTTTTGAAATCTGATGTAAGGCATTTTGCTCATGATGCGCGACCTCCAGAGATTTCACCAGGAGGTCTGACACGAGAAAGGCAGGCATACCTTTATAGCCGGATCCGACCTTTCGTAACCAATCCTTGGAAAGATGTGACCTGTCCCCCGGTTCAGAACGAAGAATGACAGTTCAAAATTACTTCTTTGGATTAAAACCTGTGTGACACAATCTTAACTTTTAAAAGTATCTTCTGTTATGAAATGTTGAGTTACATGTGATATTAAATATCGTGATTTGTAAATGTATATGATTACATATAAACTGTAAAAAGGAAATGTATATTTTAAAAATTATTTTTTTTTTGCACCATTTCATATCTTGATTATTATTATTTATTGTTGAAAATCCACTGAATCAAAATAAGGAAGTGAACATGTATTGTTAGTGAAATATGTCTCCCATTAATACTAGTATACACGTAGGAACAATTTTGTAGCCTTTATTTGCGCAGTTGACGTCAAAGCATATATTTCTTTTATTTTGATGCGTTATTTCAACACGTAATTATGAGAAATATATGTTATGCTGTATATCATTAGAATCAGAAGGAAAAGTTCTATAAGAATCAATAAAAAACTGAAATTGGCGCGTCACATATAAGGAATGAAATAACTGATGAAAACAAACATTCGTATTTCTTAAAAAGAACTTGTAAAGAAGGAGAAATCCCACTTTCCCTCACATCAAGATTGAGCTCATGTTTTAAACAAGGAAGAATAAATTCAGGGATTTCCATTGATGCAGGTGACCGAAAGATGACCGTTTAGGATGAGTATTACACACGTGGGTATGTTAAGGCAGCACATGGACCGGAATTCGGCGAATTAAGACTTTTTTTTATAATTATGTAACACTGATAAATTGGAAAAATCAAGCATAAAACTTTACTTATAATTATGCATTCTATAGACTTCAATGGGACTTGTACTACATGAAGCACTTCACCACAGCATAACCACGTGACGTCTATAATGAGAAAATATGCCTTAATGAAAAAGTGAAAAGTTCAACACTACCCCGGGGATAATTAATTTTAATTTGTATTAATAATTATGTAAAAACATCTCTGTACCATGAAAAGTGCTGCTAGAATCCTACTGTCCTATCATGGAAATAATTATTCAGCACTTTCTGACGAAACCTTCCCAAAATTTTAACATTTTGTTAATAACATCGAAAAAAAATGCATTTATTCCCGTTAACCATACGATTCTAGCAGCACTTTCCAAAAACAATATGGAGAGAACGATCATAGGCATTTATGCCTGCTGTTCAATCCATTTCTATATATGAATAAAATATATTTTAAACTAAAAACAATAGAATAAGAACTTCAGATAGAAACAAAAATTAAGTTTCAAAGTGTGCGGCTTAGTGTTGAACTTTTGCATCTTGTTTGTTACGAACGACAGAGGAAAGGCTGATCGGCAAGTAAACTCCCTCCCTGCTTTAATTTTACGAAGAAATTGTTGAAGGTTATTACCATACCTTATTCATAAGCTTTCACTTTCACTCTGCTACTGCATGATCAACAGTTATGACGTCACGGGTTTGGTATTTAACCCCTGTGATAACTACAGAGACCCAGAAACGACAAAATTCTGTTTGTGTAATGCCTCTGCATATTTTGATTAATTTTTACGACCTCAAATAAATCTTAGATATCGATTATAAGAAATTGTTATCTCTAAACTTTACGTCCTATAGCTTACTATGACGTCATATCATATAGGCAAGTAGAATATTTGGTTGTAACCTTAACCTACCTGCGCACGGATACTCGTGAATTCTTTGTTTCCAGTATATTACAAAACAAGTACCACTTACAACTAAAGGAATCTGACACGTTCTTATTTACTCCAGAAAGACAAGGCTAAGTCAATGACCAGCATTAAAACAATTTGAAGAAGAGACATGCACATGTGGACATCATTGCTCACTCGGATCAACAATATTCTTGCAGAAACGTTAAAGACTACACCTCATATGAAGTTTTTGATATTAACTATGGCCCAAAGGCCAATATTTCACTGACCTATGTTTACTTTATTTTGATTGACTTACCTAGCCTTACTTATCTGCAGAACATTTTATTAATCAAACCTATAAAATCCAAGGTTTGTTTGTTGAAACTAACTATGATACTTAATTTTTGCTATTCTCGAATCTCCAAATTTGCATTTCGAATTTCAAGTGAGCTTTCTAGGCTTTCGTATTATACTCATTAAAAACCAGTTATTTATTTAATTGTTTTGCAAAATGTTTCTTAAATCGCAAGAAAGAAATCTTTTTCACCGATAGATTGCAAGTTGACAAAGAAAGACATTTGTTTGGAATAAAAGTTTGCTTGCAAAAAGTCTTTCATACAAGTACACCCCAAAGCTGAATATTCTTCTTTTTATCAGGAATGGGGCAGCACAAAACTTTATGTTTTCTCATTTTTTTATCTACGATAACTGATATTAATTGTTTACAACATTAACCACGATTAGCTAACGTTTGTTACATACTTAGAAATATTTTTTAAAAGAGATAATAATTGTAATCTAACAACCAAGCTTAAGGTTATTTTTTGTATCAACTGCATAAATTTTTAAATATTAAAAATTAATGAAATTTTCACAGAATCAAGAAGACAACTTCAGTAAGTGGTGGCATCAGATTTGATAGTTTTATATTGGAGGAAGGTCAGATGAAGGTCATTTATTTCCTGGACATCAAGAAAAAGAACACTATTGCCAATCATGCTTTGCCTACTTCTATTTTAAAAGATTAAATGTTTTTTAGCATAAAAAGATATAACCATATAGGGTCTATAACATGATATTACCAAATTTACAGGAGTTGTTTAATTAAACTGGCAATTGGCTTATCCGAATATTTTTTTCTGTTTTTCTTAAATCTTTTAGGATAAATTAGTTATTTTTACATATAATTATAATAGAATTATTTTTTCTTCTTTTAACATAGAATAATGTAAAAATATAAATATACAAAATGAGACAGAAACAAAAAGTATTGATCGTTTACTAAGAGAAAAAAAAACACTTTTTCAGATTTTTTGCTGAAATCTGTAATTAAATCGGAACCTTTTAAAAGCTTACGTAATTGTAGTTTGTTTAAATTAAATAATATTAATTTGATATATTATAAAACTTCAGTCCCTGATTATTAATTAAACTTAAACTTGTAAATTTATTTTAGTCTTTGATTGTGTGAAAATTGTAACTAAGGTTATTGTTGTATAGTAATTTTGAAAAGCATAAATAAAGAAATGTTTGCAAACTATCTCTATATCTACAAAACTACTATTCAGATAAGAATAAAATTTTGTACACACATAGCCATACACAAGTTCTATAAATACCATATGCTGAATAAATTTGTTCTCCTTGTTTGTGACGTCACAAAATGAAAATGACGTCACTATGTAGGTCACTTGGGACGAAAAATGGTGTCTCAGTCGTACTTGTTCAACAAAGGACTGTACAATTTATTGCATATCATAGAAATCCCTTTACAGAAGCATATAATAATTTATAAACAGCTTATCAAATGACTTTCTATAAATTTAATCAATGATTGGATTGGTCGTTTTAGTGAAGCAAGGCAGATGGTTAAAAATGATACTTGTTATACTGCCAATTGAAAGCAAGTTTGAAAGGAGATGTGTTTTAATTAAGCAACTTGCCATCAAAGACCTCCAATTTACACTTTGAAAAATAGTTGAATAAATGAACAATAATATAATTATTAAATACCTAAGATATCGTTTACTTGAATAAACGTCTCTCCCAAGACAGAAGATTTTGGGTTTTATGGGTCGCCATGCTAATTTTTGGAAAGGATATTCTAACCCTCGCATTCTTTTACCGAGATTTGACCATTTATAACAAATTAACAGTTTTTGCAATAAAAATTAACTTACTTG